ACGAAATAGTAACCCCACGAGATAAGTCTACAAGGAGAACGACGCGCTCATGCGAAACACTTGGCCAAAAGAAAGTCCCGTTCATATTGCCTTTTATAAGCGATGAAGTAAGCGTAGCTATAAAACGATGCTTAAGAAGGGCAAGTCTAGAGGAACCGGTAGCGATAGTTGAAATACCACCGGCTACTCTACGTCGCCAGTTAGTTCGCAACCGCCTGTATGACCGTCTGTGTGAAACAACAAATTGCGTAATTTGCCCTTACGGCAGGGACGGTGATTGCATGAGTTCAGGTACGATATACCTGATCTCTTGTAACAATTGCGGAGATGAATATATTGGCGAAACGGGCAGACTTTTATGTATCCATATAAAAGAACACCTAGATGGCAAACGAAAACTAAGACGAAGCACCCCACTAGGCACGCATAGGATACAAAAGCATAGCGGAGACGATTTTGAAGTAAAAGTCAATATCCTTGCACAGGAGTCCAAAACACCAGCGCGAAAACTCCTAGAGGCTTTTTGGATCAATGCCAAAAACCCTACAATGAATAGTAGGGATGAATGCCCGGAGGTCATACGCGACCTGGCCCCGTATCTTCGCATCAGCTTCTGGTGAGGTATGGTGCAGTCATCAACCACATGCGACTACAATCAGCTGTTCTAACCTTCCTTATTGGAATTCACGTAAAATGCAGTGAGTTTTTCGAGAAGCTGTCGATCATGTAATTACCATAGAGCTTTTCTTCTTTTTGTAAGTGTTATTGAAGCGTTTGGCCTAGTAGATTGTATATCAGTATACCCTTCCAGGCTCTGAAGAAGGCGATGTTGCCGAAACGTCAGCTAGCGTTGTGTTGTATTGTGTTTCTCTATGGAAGTAAATGTATGCTGTTTAAAAACCTCGCGATTGCTGAACAAGAAAACGACACATTCATATTCCAATGCCGAGGTTAAGAGAAAGTCGATCCTGGGAACTGTCTTCTATGTTTTGTTGATGATCCAACATAGGCTTATTGATATCAAATTATGCTTGCATTATATTCGTACCTGTACAAAGTTTCTTATCCTTGTTGACGTTCCGACGTATTCGTGCTTTTTCAGAACAGAAAGGGCGAGCAGTTACATGCTATACACTCGACCATGGTTTCGATCACGTTTTAAATAACCTCATGACGAGTCTCCTCGTTGTTGTTCCACCTTTCGGTGAGGGGCAAACACAGCATAGAGGAACAAGAGTGCATAGCTTAGCTTAAATCATCAATTTACACTGCGGAAAGGGACTAAGTGCGATCGTTTCGCTATTATAAGCTAGAATTAGTGACGAATTAAATCGAGCTGCTTATTAAGCGATTAGAATTTCCAGTGAAGGCATCCATGTGGCCTAGCAAAAGCTTCTATTCCTATGCAGTAGTGGTTTATCTGCTTGCTTCAGAGTTGTGAAAAAGAGACATCCACCAAAGCAGCAGTCAAGAGCACAGAAGTCTCATCTAAATCCGTCAAGAAAACAACGAACGAAAAGATGCTCATTTCCAAGATAAGTCGAATGTCTCAAGACGAAGCTGTTCTCATTTTCATTTTTAAATAGGTGGCAGCGTTCTTGAGCATAGAATGTTGTAAACAAGAGAATGTTTCTATTAATAAACTGCCATATAGAAGAAGATGAGAGAGTCGAAAAACTATACGAGGCAGAAAAATACAATACGTACAGATAGAAGCGTTAGTATGCGAACGAAGAAACTTTGTGACTGATGCAGTCAGAGATGGGTAGAGAGAAAGACCTCGGTTGTTTTGACGAGTAATGTGACCACCACGCTGAAAGGCCGCGATGGAATAAATTCTGGGTAACTCCTAGCTCTTAGTGAAGAAAGAGAATTTCGTGATGACGATGAGGTAGGAGTCTGGCGAGTGAACGAATGTGCTGGGGAACAATCATTTGATTTCGGATCCAGTTAGCATACCTTCCATCCAGATCGACAAGATTGATTTCGAATTTTTTCGTTGTGGTCCCGCCACCGGTTTTCGCAAATTTTTGGACGATAATAAGCTTGACGATGGTATGAGCTCTAGATTGTAGTTTCTCATGTATACGAGCCACCGATGTGAACACTACAACCGCTTGCATTCGATAAAATCTGCTTGTCTTCAGCAGAACGTGTGCAAACTTCCACTTACCGACTACTCGTCGCGTTCATGTTTGTGACGGTTATCGTACGATTCTTTGTGCTTTCGTCGTCTTTCCCGTCGATCTGTTCGTAGGAACTCGCTGGTGCACTTGAGAGGTTCTCCACTGTTATAAAAAAGGGATAAAAATTAAACATAAACAGACCTTACATTGGCAGAAAACATCATTTCTCTACATGAATTTTCCAATTGCAAGGCGCCGAATATTTTTGTGATGAAACGACGAATAAATTGAGAGAACAGAGTTCTCAAAAATTGACGGAGAAGCTGAGCGAGGTTAGAGCTTATAACCTAAAACAGCATATATACGTACCATAGAATCGAGTTGTAGCATGCTCTCGTAACTTTAATCCTCCTTTCGGTGGTTCCTTCGACGACAATAAGTCATGTATCTTTAAAAATTGTTCTAATACGTTTATCTTATTCACTTAATTCTTCCAACCAAGTCGTTTAGATCAGTACCTTTTCGCAGTAGATTTCGAGCATGGGGCTGAACACCTCGTAACTGCAGTTCTTCTTACTTTTCCTCTTTTCTTCAATGCCTTGGAGCAATTCCTCACAGAACGGTGGAACAATACCTATACGAAACATAATCAAACTCGAAACGCGACACTTCAGAATTTTAAAAACATGTGGTTAAACATGAAGCATGGTGAATACCAGCTAATATTAGTAGATGTTGGTATAGTAGACGAAGCTTATCGAAAATGGACTATTATAATGGGTGATTAACTCTGGTTTCTGCTGTCAGAATTCATGAAGCTTCATGAAAGAGCAAAAAAAGCTGAGCGCCCATACTTCCATCTGTGCTAATTATTTTGGTCTAATAAGGAATAAGTTGGAAAAATGTCCCTTTCTATACGTTTTTAACCCTGAGCACCGCCCAAAGTTTGAAATCGCATTAATTGTCGACGTACTCAGATCTTGTGCCACGAGTTAGTAAATCCTTCGATCCACATCAATCTTAAAGCTATCATTGCCGTCAACCGCCTTTTGAGACAAGATAAATAAACAAATTCAGGTTTGTCACATATCAACCGACCAAGTTCAAATCTGATACTTCAATGTCCTCGCTCCGTGACTGTCACGATTCTCAGTGGGTGGAACATAAAGGAAAAAAAAGCGTATCGTTAATATAAGCGGTAAGCTACAGTTGAATGCAGCTCATCTAGTTAGTAGTTCGAAGCCACGACGGCACCTTGAGATTACGTTGGGATGGTACGAATTGGTCTGTGTGAATCAGAGTAGTGGGTTACTTTACCAGCTCTGCAATTTACTATTGATGGGAAAAAAATTTCTAACTAATACCATTGCTTAGGAGAAATCATCTGACAGCAAAGTGATGATACTATGGAAGGAAAGTTTTACGTGTTTGGCATTCCCTTGACAACATAGTTAAGTACAAGAACATTTGATAATAATAATAATAATAACAATGGTAAAAATAACAAATAGTAGTAATAATGAACGATATCTAGTGAAGCTTCTCGATTTTCGCTGTCAAGTCCAAGAGTAGCCCAGTGGGTTCTGTCCGCTTTGAGGTATTCGCTGAGCGTCATGTCTTTCTTCTAAGGTTTTTGTTGCGAAGTCTGATCATTGTGTCGGTGGTATTCCTAGTTGAATACCCAATGATTTTTTATTCTGTTTACGCTGACGCCGTCAATAAATATGGGGTCTAGGTGGCAAGCATGAAGCATGGTCCTTTTTGTTACATGCTCCGTGCTCTGATTAGCTCCTTCAGCGACTCCTTTGCACCCGGTCAACTTGTGCGCCAAATGGTTCATTATTATACTTTTCGTTTAGGATACGCATAGCTATAGCATTCAGAGATATCCATTCCGTTAAGCGTGAATCCGTTCCTCTACGAATATCATTCTGTTAAGGTTTAGCAGGAGGTCTTTTTTTCTCACAAACGATGTCGAAATCACGATGATGCTGAGATATTTGCAAAACTCCGGAGAGCAGGTGTCTGTTAACCCCGGAAAGGGTAATAGCGCGTTCGTTCCCCACCGCGGACATCTTCGGTCCCGAGCTTTGCAAATATCTCAGCATCGTTGCAGTTGTATTTCACATAATACCCTGCCGTAAAATTGTAGTAGGCAGAAAATAAAAAGTAAACATTGATTTCAAAATCGTCGAAGATTCGATTTTCTTCGCTTTTTTTTCTTCGGACGGACGATTTCCATTCTTACTTCTACACTTTCTCATTCGCCTTCCCACGGAAGTTATCGATAGTAGCTGAAAACAGTTTCTGTGGAGTGATATCTTCTTGTAGAATCTCGCTACAACCCTCCACATCAATGTGAATGTCGTTGTTGAGCGGTGAAATTGTGGTAGTAAAGTTGTTTCATAACTCTTTTCTTTTCTTGTTCCAGCTCAATGGACGGGGTATTCATGTCGATAAAAATGGAACATAGCGATTTCTCTAGCGACCCTTCGGTGAGCTTCGTAATCATGTGTGAAATTGCAAATATTCTTGCGCAACGTGACAGAGTGAACTCCAGAAATTTCAAGGATTGCAAGAAATAGAAACTATATAGAGATTTTATTTGGAGAAACTGTGGAAAAACCCTAGCCTTTGTTTCCTTTGAAGCCGACGATCGAATAGCTCTTTCCACTTCCGGTCTGTACGTAGGCGAACAGCGAGCAGTTGTAGCCAGCCCACGCGTTCTCCGGCGCACCTCTGCCCAGATCGGCGTAGGCACGACTCTGTACATTAGCTGCGATATGTTAACTTTTCTATCTATTCTCTTCATTTTATTTACTCTTATGAATTTTTCCTTGAAAATAAATCCATGATATGAATTTTCTGGCTCTACGGCACCGAACAAGATTCGTACAATTGGAATTTTTGAAATTTTCGAAGTGAATCGTGGTCTGTTCACTGTTTCTTATAATCGGCCTCCGTCAGCGAGCTTTTTCTCATTGGATTAAAAACGTCTTGAGACGACTTTAACAAATAGTCTTCACTATGTACCTGGCTCTGGAAAGTTCGGTAAGGAGTGAGGGAATCAACAGCGACCTTGACTGTTTCCATATTTCAGTTGCGCAGTAGGGTATATATAAGATCGGGATACACTTTAAATGGTTATCCCCATACATGCAAAATGATCTTGCACAGTTTTCGCTACATTTTCGTCATACTTTAAAACCCTACATAACTAAGAGAATCTAGGTCCATAAGTAAACGTAGCTAAGCGCAACGTAGCTAATCCTAAGCCCAAAAATGTGAAATTTTGGCATGTGTTTTGCAGCTCTGAACTAAATAGAGTGAAAAATCCACTTTCAAATCATACGGGAGACTATTTAGCGAGATACGATGAATATTTAACACAACTCTCTCTTGACCACAGGAAATTACATAGGTCTGACTAGCACCGTATAACCCATTCCTCACCTGCTCTGCTCTCTTCGACATTAGGTTGTTGCCTCTTTAAGGTATCAACCATTGCAATGAAAACTAGTTCACCCAATTGTTGTGAGTTCCTCATGTCTTCCACATAAAACGCCAGAACTTTCTTTCCACAGAGAAATGTAATGGTACAGGTTTTTTACCACATAAAGCTTTCATCCACAGTGCCCACCTTTAAATAACCATGTCATCAATTACAGGACCAAAGTGGTCGTACAGTGACGCCCAGACGGAACAGTTACAGCTTTCGTAAGGGCAATGAAAAAAATAATCTGCAACTGCTAGGATGTCTTCAATAGCCAAGTCTTCTCATTCAGTAGATAATTCACGTTGATAGACCACATCCACACTATAACGAAACCCACTAATGAATCACGAGAGTACAATAGACCGCTCCGTCTCACGTTCACCAATTTAAAGAAGATTTTTGACCCAGCTGAGACAAAAGCACTCATTGGAAGCCAGCCCTGGACAGCCAGGAACTCCCTACTCAGTATATAAAGATTCTTCGTGAGTTGTATAAAAATTTCACAGCGATGATATCCCCATTCTACAATGGTATGGTATTAACGTCGACGTTAAATGAGGGGTTAGGCAAGGCGATACCATATCGCCAAAATTATTTATTCACCCCTCCTCTAAACCGTCATACGGACACTGGAATGGGACATCACAGGAGTGAAAATCGATGGTCGACAATTACACCACTTCCGCTTTGCTGATGATATCGTTATTATAACACCAAGCATTAGGCAAGCGAAACGAATATTGCCTGACGTCGACAACGATGTTGAATGGTTGGTCTTCAACTAAATGTTACGAAAACGATGTTCATGAAGAACGTATTGGTTTTTTATGGTTCGTTCACGCTCAACGAAATCAATATCTCCGGATGGTCTAGCTGTGTCTGTCTAGGTGAGGAAATCAATGTGATGAACGACTTAGCTCCAGAGTTGAGTAGGAGGAAGCGAGCGGTTGGGGGGATTTAAACAGTACCGAGGATGTAGCGCAGAGAACAAGGAACACCCGACTCCGTGCCCAACTTTTCGCCTCCACAATTCTCCCTGTCTTAACGCATGCGATAAACCTAGGACACCCGGTGCCTATTAGCGAGAACTGCAGGACAAGAGCGGTTAGCGACTGGATTTCCTGCGATATCAAACGCAGAACAGGTAGACCACTGACCCCATGGTCATCGTTCTTCTCAAGAACGCTAGAACGGAGATATAATGCTCAGCGAATCCCTACATGGATTAGGACCCATTGGGATACTCTTGCTCGCGAGAGAGACAAATGGGAAATCTACTGCCATTCGCTCGGGTCATAAGATGCTCAAACGTACAGCAAGTAACACAGTTAGAAGCTTGGTGCGCCAACTGCACCTTAAGATGTTCGTAAGCTGGTGCTCACGTGCAAATCTTCACTCAAGAATACGCCGCATGCAACAAATGATTTACAATGTTTTCGTATCTAGCTATGGAAGAAAATTCTACTTGCAAGGAATCACACGAACTGCATTCCGACCACTAAGGAAGTGTTGGTCTGATGATAAGAGTTAAGAGAAGGCAAAAAAAACACAAAACACTCTTGACGTTCCACTCACATATTCTAGAAGCATACGCGAAACAGACCGTTTGCACGAGTAGTGGTTGTAAAAGAAGACCGAAGAAAATTGAAAAGCCAGGTGAACAACAACCCACTGTGTTTTGTAGAACATCACCACTCAACGGTCAAAGTTCCTTATTTACAAGAAAAATGAAGAAAAGAATGATTAATAAAAGTTTGTAAATTACTGTATCTGAGATGTCGTGTTGTAGTGAAGCGCCTTTGGAAATGAAAAACGATATTCAGTGTGGAATTGATGTTAATATTAACAACGGCCTGAGACGGCTTGGTGATCGGATGTTGAGCATTCTATCTGTACTAAACTGTGCCCTAGGTCGCCAAATCAAAAGTAGCCTGCGACAACGCAGGAGCAGAGTAGAAACACCCTCTTTTGAGGTAGATCCTCGACCTTTTCAGGGTGCACTTTTAAATAGTGATAATGATGATAATGACTACCTCTATTTTTTTTGAAAACTCTCACCTGATCTGCATATCTGTCGTCTGCAGGTGATAAGTGGCCATCCTTCTCCTCCTTAAAACCACCATACCACCAATACGAATGATCAAATGTAAACCATTTCTCGTTTGATGGACAATTCGGATCCCTTGAAAAATGATTTTCTTCAGAAAAAAAAATGCAAAACACTTGTACAAAATTAGCACTCAAAGGCACCTTTTTGGTCTAAATTCGTGATATTTAGCCTCAACAAAACGTCTCCAGTTATTTTTTAAATGGTACTATAATGTTGTAGTTCCTCACGTTTTCTAAAATTTATTCCAATAGGACATTAATACGCGATTTAATCATCGCAAAACATGGGTATAACCCCCGTTCTGTTGGAGATTAAAAGCTTCTCTTTAAGAACTGTGACGGTTAAAAGTTGAAGAATTGCTCGAGTCTTAATTTCATGCTGTCCCTTTTGATTGCTTGCCGAGGAAAGAAGTTTCATAAAAGGCAAAAATCAGACGACGCAAGATCATAGCTTCATATCTAAAGAAGGACAGTTTCCAGGCTGAAAATGTGGAGAACTATCTGTTAACACCTTCTTGGATTGTTGAGCTGACACGGCGTTGGTACAAAATATCTATTCGGCAAACGTTTCGACGTCTTCTTCATCTTCAGAGCCGCATTGGTCCAAGTCCATGATACACAGGTGGTCGTGTTCGTTGTCACACTGAGTCGAATCCATTGAAGTGGATCACCGATCGAGTGATGATTCTCACTCGATGGTGCCCTTTTACACAGAACGGATGTTGGTCTATTCTCGCCAACAAGTACGATCTGCTGTTTGGGCGGCAGTGCGTCTCGTAGCAGTTAACGGTACGTATCTGGCACACTGCGTACTAATACATTTCTAAAAACCGACTTCCTTTTGGCTTGTGTATAAATAGTCAATACCTTCTAGAACTTTCTGCGATAAATGACTAAAATCCGCCCAAAGGGCATCGCCGAATGAGATTCCTCATTCGATCGGTGCTACACTTCACTGGATACGAGGCGGTCCGACAACGAACACCTATATCGTGAGGCGGGCCATATATCTTCGACTTGGGTCGATCTGGAGCTGAAGAGGACAAAGAAGTCAAAACGCTACCCGAATAAATCTTTTCATCAACTTCTTATAAGCTCAACAGTCCAAGAAGGTATTGACAATTTATGCAGAAGTTAAACAAAAGTAGGTTTTGAGAGATATCTATTAACACTCTAGCGTCGACGACTAATCGATGTTGTTGCTGACTGGGCAACACATGGTTTTCAGCCCTTATGGACTTCCTTTTTTTGCAAATAAGCAGGTCTTTTATCATCCAGTACTTTCAATACGCTACCAGACACATTATAGTAACTATTCCCTAAATATTTAAAAAGGTAGTACTAATCAATATGTATCTTTTCTTTGATAAACTTATCCTCATCAGAATGCTTGTTTAAGAACTAAAAAACTTCAGAATTTATTTGTTAAAAATTGTTTATCAACCTCGGGTAAGCTTATCAAAGAAAGAATACATGTTGATTATTAATACCAAGGTTAAAGGAAAGTCGGTTTTGAAATATTGTTATTGCTCTTTGCTAGCTGACTTCTGCAGGATTGATTGAGCACGAAAAACGAGTGACTATCAGCGGACGATTACTAACAACAACCATCAGCATCCTGCATAAAAGGGCATCATTGTGTGAGCATGCCTCATTTAAGAGATGGTCCACTGAGCAAGACACAGCTCGATACGAAGGCGAAGACGCCACATCAAGACGAAGGACAACCGAGGACTATCGACTCGGATCGCCAGCTTTGATGAAGACGAAGATGTCGAAACGTTAGCCGAATAAAATTTGTCTAAATAGTTTTTATTTCCACGCTTAGTGCTAGCCTCATTTACTCTTGCCTTTTAAGCTTTTGTTGTATAGCGTTCACGAACTTCCTTTGCAAACAACTTTATCAGAATTTGGAGACTGAGAGGCTTTCTAAAACCCTCCTGTAAGCATTATCTCTGGTTTTTTTCTGTCAAAACTCTGCCAATCACAAAAGGAACACAAGGAACACTATGAGTCATCCCAGTCAGTTTTTGCTCAGTTTCACTTAGCTCGTGAACTTTAAACTTGAACTTTCATGCAAACCGATGTAGTGAGTAATTCTAGAAAAAATCCTTCACAGAAATTGTCATCAAAGTTGCTCTAGAGAATTTTAGAAAAAGAATCATGAGGCTATATCCATATTAATTCTAAAAATAACTGTAGAAGTTACCTAGATTTTTAAACAGGGACTTAGATAAAGGGAACAAAGCGTCGGTTATCTAGGCAGTACAGGGGATTTTAGGGACGGCAGCACACATCGTATGCAGGTTCGCTGCCCGTCGGGTATCTCGACGACAAGTCGAGCCTTCAGGCTCTTCTCACGATCGTTGAACGGCCGAACTCGTACCGCTACCACCACATTATCACCACCAGCTTTTCCAGAACCCATTCTAAATCTGAATTATGCAAAAGATACAGATCACACAAAAAAAGAACGCAAACATCACGAAAAAATGTATTACTAAGATACAAGTTGTTAGAAGGCTTCCTATCGATTTAGTAAGTACCATCACGTGCTAAATTAGTAACGTTTATGTTAAGTTAGCAAAATTTCACAACTTGTTAAAAGCACTTCCACTTTCCGATGGCGGTATCGTATTTATTTATGTGATCTTATAAACTGATCTTCTTAAGCTGACGCGAGGTTGGTACAGATCTTCGTTGTCGTTGTCGTTGTCGTTGTTTTTGATGTTATTGAACGATG